CATGGAATAGAGAGGAAAGGACGGTAGCTGTACTGTGGCATAGGAGGTGGGTTGAAAAGGCGGGAAGGGATGCCGTTAGGATAGACAGAATAGGGAAGACATTTTTGAGCCACCTTTGGCAAAGTTTGAAGGAACGATTGGCCATCGGTGATCGGTCCTGTGGGAACAATGCTCCGTCCTCTCGAGGACGCGTGGTCAATGGTCTAACCGCTAAGGCATGCAAAACATAAGAGTACGCCCCCCCCCGCATCATGTTCATGTGCCCGATCTTGGACAAGAAGCAGGCGGGCCGGCCACCCGTGTAGTTGGTTTGAAACCTTAACCTGCCACATGTTGCTTCCCCAAAACCGAAGGAAAAAATACCCAAACCCACCCATACATTTTCATGTGCGCGTTTCAAATAAATAAATACGAAAAGCGCAATTGCTTTACTATTCAACTTTTTTGGGGGGTTGGAAGACAAGTCGACCCGTGGTGGTCCATCTCTGATTCTTTTGACTACAGCAGAATGTAGGTGGACGCGGGTCTCTCATGCATTCCACAGTCAACTTATTGATCTGATAGAGCGCCATATCTCTCCGGCCACATTTTGACATTTTTCAGCAGGGCCTGCCTGCCACACAAGTGCCTGCAACCCCCGGCCTTTGCACATACCGCTCCGTAGGTGGTGCGGTCTCGATTGCGAGGAACAGCGGTGGTATGCGCGTGCCTACAAAACCACAATCTGAAGCATACTTCATCACCCTCCCCCACTCACTGACTCCATACTATAGGGCGGAGTCTCGTTGCTGCTATTCACTCGAGGCCTGCTGCGAAACATCATCATCATCATCAGCAGCAGCAGCAGCAGAAGCAGCAGCAGCAGCAGAAGCAGCAGCAGCTACGCCTGCCGCCATGGTGGGGCTCCTCCCAGTAGTCTTTGCCTTGGCGCTGGCGTCCAGCCGTAGAGGCTTGGCGAGGTGTGGACGTGGGTCCACGGCAACGCCTGCTGCTGCCGACAACACCCCAGGGAGGCCCGCCTCGATGTCGGCGTCGCCGGTCAAGGCCAAGGACGACGCGAACAACACTTCTCAGGCGTCGGCGACGGCGGCGGCGCTGGGGGGCGGTGCTGTGTTTGATTGGTTCACGCGCGGAGGCGGCAGGCACGGCTTCGGCTTGGGGG